AGTGGCTTGATGCAATTTGCTGGGTTCCTTATATAGGAAAAATTATTTCTGATTGGCCTAATGAACTGTCCTGAATTAGAATGTTTATTATGTGAAGTGCCTTGAGACGACTCTTGTCATGATTTGGCGCTATATAAATAAACTTGAATCGAATTGAACTGAAAGAGTCTGGATTGTCCTGAACGTGGTGTAGGCACTGCTAGCCGACGATCCTGTGATGACCGGAGCGGCCGGGCCGAGACGTAAGCCTCGGTAAGAGGATTCAGGTAGATGGGAGCCGTACCATCTCGGACTTTGAATGCTAGTGTTAGCAATTTGAATTTGATGCGTGCTGCTAGCGGTAGCCAGTGGAGCTCAATGAACAGAGGGGTGACGTGTGCTCTTTTTGGCTGATTGAAGACCACACGTGCCGCTGCGTTCTGGACCATTTGAAGAGGTCTCACAGTACAGGCTGGAAGACCAGTTAGAAGGGCATTGCAGTAATCGAGGCGGGAGATGACAGTAGATTGCACCAGGAGCTGGGTGGCATGTTATGTTAGGTACGGTCTGATCTTTCATATGTTATACAGCGCAAAGCGGCATGAACGGGCAACAGAGGTAACATGATCTTTAAAGGTCAGGTGTTCATCAATCACAACACCCAGATTTCAAACTGCCTTTGAAGGAGCCAGAGATAGGAAGTCATTTTGGATTGAGATATTGTGCTGTATGGATGGTTTTGCAGGGATGACAAGTAGTTCAGTTTTAGAGAGGTTGAGTTGGAGATGGTGGGATTTCATCCATTTTGATATGTCAGAGAGACAGTTTGATATTCATGCAGAGACAGTGTGGTCGTCCGGTGGAAATGACAGATAGAGCTGGGTGTCGTCTGCATAGCTGCATTGGCTGTAAACATGTTTATTTCTACTGTGAAGGTGGGATTTTAAAAATGGGAGTCAATGAGGATTTGCTGACTTTCTTGTGCCAGCCCCTGTCAGATGTCGGGGAACTGCAATTTTTGTCACTTACGGGTTGGCTTCAGGTCTGTGTAACATACCAGAAGGCCAAGTATTTCCATCACAATGACTGGAGGTTAACTGTCTGGTCTCTAATCCAGAAAGGTACTGCAACAACCTTGTTACCGAATAAGGGAGCCATAATAAGTGCTTTTCTGAGCTCACTTATATTAGCTGGAACTCAAGGCCCATGTAGACGACGAGACATTCTGCACTTTCACTTTTAATAAAGTTTATTTTCCTGGCTGACATAAATGACTTTTTAAAACTTTACAATTGCATAGGTGCCATATAATCATCTCTTGGTTAACTCCAAAGTGTATGAATAATGTGTGCATTAATCAATAATGTGTTAAAATGAATATTTTTCCTGTAATGATTCATTTCAGATCTTTAATCACACCAGATTAATATTTGTTGTTTTACTAATTTAATCTCAGGATATTCACACCTCGTAATAATTGTTGAATCAATGTTTTAAAATTCACTTCACATACATGTATAAAAACATTTTCACTTCACTCTGAGAATTAAGCCCTAAGTATCTGAGTGAAGCCGTGACTTTCTGAGGACTTTGTTAACGCCCTTAAAAACTCGTCAAATTCTGATTTGTCTAGAATTTGTAAACAACATTTGATATTTACAGGAATCACTTCCTGATCTATTCAGTTCTCCGCTGCCTCCTGGTTTGGCCAACCGGTAAGCATTTGGAACCATCCTCTAATTGGCTCCAAGGTCAAAGCCTCTCTGCAATGCTTGCAAGTGAGTTCAGACACAACGGCTCTTTTAAGAGCCACCGAACAGCCTCAGAGACTAAACTAGATATGCCAGCTTCCTGCGGCCACCTGAAGGTATCTCAGACTAGACAGGACGTATTCTGAGCTACCTACAACCTACGGGTTCCATTGCCCATGGGTCCCTCCATCGGCAGTGTCCATCCCGACTTCTTGACCCCCAGGATCACACGGGAACCTTCAACACAAGGGTGTGTAGACTCGGCACAAATGGCGTCAGCTGGCTTTATGAATAATCTATAGTTTATCAAACCACACAGCTAAACTGATTTTACAACCCAGACACCATAAGATTTCTCAGATACTTACAAGGTTCTGCTAAACATCTAGCTTACATTCCACCATTTCATTTATTATCTGGATCTGTACAACCACCATTTCATTCATACTTTGTCATGTATAATTATTTAGTTTAGAAATATAGAATTAAATTCATTTTTTTAAACTATATTCTTGACTCTGTCTAAGTTCTTGTGAAGTGTGTGTTCCCTGAAGAGTAAAAAAGCCAAAGGATTACTAAGTCAAATATTCAAAAATCATTCAGATTGATATTTCATATTTATATGGAAAATCACATCTTACTGATGACTTATTAAAAGTGTAGCCAATCCTCACCACTACATCCGTGTCTGTGGGGTTCCCCTTTGGGCTGGAGTAGCCTGCTGACCAAAATCTTTTTGCTATTGCTACAGTTTGTCATGATTTCTAGACTTTTGAGAAATATCTTTTAGATTTTGTATGAAACATGATTCACATATACCTTAAATTCAATGATTATATTCATTTTGAATAAATCATTTGCTTTTTTGTTCACAGCTGTGTTTGAGATATGTGCGCTCATGCAGAAAGCACATTGTTAAAAACTACACACAGACTTTGTTTAGAGGCCTCAAACTGTACTTTACAAAAAACTACAAATGTGGTTGTGTGGTGAATTGAAATTTAATAAAATGCTGACTTAAAAAGTGCACATAGTGTCCAAAACTGTCTTTCTGTCTTGTCCCACTCATGGCTGGATAAAGGAATAAAAAAAAAGGTACACCTAAGTGTGCGATTAGGGCTCAAGTGCTTATCTTGAATTCAGAAATGTTTTCTCTTCACTGCAGTGGGCAAAAACCAAAGTATCAATGTCTGGTCACTTGAAGGTACGTGCTACAAAAACACTTAAATGTAAGACATTCAAACATTAAGCAATGATGCATACTACATGTCCAGATTTTCATCTTTTCTCCAGTTTTTGCTGCAGCTGCAAGCTAATAAATTAAGAAAACACACCAGGTACTGAGTAAAGCTCTTACTAGCACCTATTCAGCTTTGTGCAGCTGTTTGTTCAAATCAGGAGATTTTGTCTTCCTCTTACAGAGGTCAGACACACAGAGAAGAAAATATTAGGACATATATTTGAAGGGCGATTTCACTGAGAAACTGTTTTTTACTTGTTTGGTCACTCTGGGTTTAACATGCAGGATAAACATCAAAATAGTCTTCTCCTATTTCTGCAGACAGAAAATAGACAGGAAAACGTTAAGGTCAGATAAAGCCACACAGATCTATGTCACACTGAAAATTAGCGTTCATGGATTCACAAATCTTGGCTCATGGCGGGGAAGGCTTTTGTTGGTTTAGCGTCCAGCAGAGAGCAGATCGCTTATTGACTATTAGAAGCTAATCATTAGTTTCGTAAGCCAATCCACCGGGCTAACTCTAGGTGTTAAATCTCAAGGCCTTGGCTCACGGTACAATATGGTGGGCTTGACCTCAGACTCCTCCTGACGAACACCCTTACTCTGTGGAGAGATATTTTACCTTGTGCAACCTAGGCTTTTGTTACTGGTAAAATCACCTTTATTTTGCTGTAGGAAGTCTCTTGCTGTATCAGAACACTCTGCATGAGCTCATCATGCTCAGAACAGACCCTCGTCAGCTTCCCCTCTGATCAGGCGAACGCTGATGTAAACGACCTGAGATAGAAGGAAGCAACCAGCAAACTCACCTTTTTCTGTGCCAGAGAAGGAAAAGAGGCCCCCACAAATTACTTTTAATTCCTTCCCGAAGGCGGGAAAAGTTTATTCAACACACAAAAAGGAAAAAAGGTAATCCAACACAAGGAAGAACAGCTTAGGAAATAAGTAAATAGGAAATGTTCTTATAAAAAAAAACCGAGATTCTAGCAGATCGGAGGAGAATAAGCTCTCTGTGTACACACACACACACACACACACACACACACACACACACACACACACACACACACACACACACACACACACACACACACACACACACACACACACACTTTTTGACCCAGCAGCAAAAACCCACCCCGATCATAACCAACAATCACGTTTTATTCCACCCCTCCCACCTTCATGCATCATTTATTTTTTTATTTTTTTATCTTTGTGGTTTAACACTTCTTCGCCGAGGCAGTCCAGGGCCCCATCTTCTTTCCTTCCTGTCCTCTTCACACATGCAGTTCCCTCCAATTGACCTATTTTTAGATTCTGTGCTATAGTTTCTGAGAAGTCAGGCGTGCACACTTTTGGCGTCTTGGTTCCGATAAACCCAGTCAGCTTGCTCTCTTCCACAGAACTGGGTGCAGGAGAGGGGGTTTCAGTAGGGCTGGAGGTCAGACAAGTTATTAAAATTGTGCCCACATTTTCAAAGTTAACACACGTCTCTTCAGTGGCAGACTGGTAATCTGGAGAAACGGGAGATTTCCCGGTGGCCTGGCCGTTAAACTGGCCTGCTCAGTGATTGCCGGTCATGATGTGCGTAATATCTAAATGAGCAATCCGTGATGCAGCTCATCAGGGCATCTGCTGCCTGATGCTCGCACAAACGGAGCACAAAGACACCCCCTCCTCTCACTTTGTCGGGGTCTGACAAAGCGCTTCAGACACCCACCACCCCAGAGCGGCTACTGCAACACCGCACCTTTGGCTCCAGAGACAAAATGGACCTAGACGGACCAGGAAAGGTCGAGCAGAAAAGGAGAGATTGAAAAAGAAGAAAGCTCTGGCCACAGATGCATGTCCAGGCTGGCCTGTATGTGGTCATGTTGGGAGAACTGGTTTAAGGTGGAGGTTTTGGGCCAGTTTAATTATCGCGCGTGCAATGCTGGGCACATGGGATGGGTTGGGGAGGGAGAAACAGCGGCTGCCAGAAACGGATCATGTTGATCAGGTTCTGATGATCAGATCATCAGACTTATTCTTTAGGGACAGAGACCAGTGCATTGGACCAGTACCAGCACCGCTGCCACTTCTAAATATAACCTTTCAGCATGTCAGTACTTTTTCTAGGGTACAATGCAAGCTGGTAAAATTTCCAGGTATTCATTAGTCGAAATCACAGAGATTTTTGAAAAGATATCTGTGTGTCCTCTAACATCAGTCATCCACAGTCTGGCACGAGCTCCATGAAGGGCCGCATTTTGCGCAAAAGTGTCATGTTGTGGGGCAAGAGTATAACCCAGGACATGCAGAATCAGAGTCAGAGTCAGATTGTATTAAAAAAAATATATTTATTGACGAAACGGTGAACTAAGGGTGCACTGGAAAATCCAGCGGGTGCAGAAACGGGAAGCAGCGTCTAGAGGGAAAAGTAGCAGAGGTCAGTATGGGAGTTGTAGAATGGCAGGGGAATTGCTGTTTGAGGGACTTACGGCTTAGATAGACGAGAAGCGTGTGGGAGGGGTGAGCCGGGGTAAGTCCAGGTAATGAATGTAGAGCGGTAGAGGTGAATGAGGAATGGGATCCGGACCGGTGTGCTTCTGGAGACGGAGCGAGAGGTGGAGGAGATCGGGTCGGCACTTGGAGGAGGGTGAACCAGGAAACGAACCAGATAAAAATCCAAAACGGTGTCAGGGAAAACTCTGATGATTATCCAGACCTGAGGTGAGGTAAAATCCAAAAATAGAATTAATCCAAATCACGAGAGAAAACCACGAGAGAACAAGAGCAGAGATAAGCGAGGGCTAGAGACTACCAGTCAGTAGTTAATCATCCGGCGTCGAGTCATGTCCACCTTCCTCCTTATAAACCGGCCTGCTGATCAGCTGATTGGAAACAGCTGTTGCTCCCTCTCCTGAAACCAAAACACTCAGGGGTAGTGAGATGATGAGACGAGTACTCACCCTGGCTCATGACAAAAAGGTGCATCGCTGCCACGAGGCGCGCCGCACGTCACCATCAGCTCAGGCAGAGGAGAGAAATTAAAACTGTTTCCCCACACCGTACACATTCCCGCAATGACTGAAAGCAGCATCAGCTGACCAACCAGTGGTTAAACGCTCTGACAGGCAGGCACATCCATGGAGGAGAGACATTTTCTAAAAGGAAATATGGATCGTGAGCAAACACAAGAAATAAAATGTCAAAAGACGAGTGTGCTTCACTTGAAATTTTGTGGCCATAAACATCCAGCTGCTGCTGATCATGAGACAGATGAGATGATAATTCTGACCTGGACTGATCTGGATTAGATTTCACATCAGCCCTGATGATCATTTATGAAATTTCTTGTTAAATGCATAAATCTTCACCTCTGGCTTATTTTGTCTTTGGTTCAAAGCCTTTAAGCCCCTAGTATTATTATTGGTATTTATATGACTATTATGAGGAAAACATCCATATATACTGGTCTGTCAGTATATTTGGATGTCAGAGATGTGTGCATCTGCAAAATGCCTCTTCCATTGTTGAGGCTGTCCATTTAATCTGTGCCTACTACGTTGTAAACCTAAATGACACTAATGATGCATCATTTAGCAATGGTGGGACCCTCCCAACAACCCCAACCCCCCCCCCCCCCCACACACACACACACACACACACACACACTTTTTTATGGATCTGCTTGTGGTGTGATTCTCTTGACCCAGACATGTAGTTCAGGTGGATGATGGTGTCTGGCCTATTTTATCTAATGTGCAGGAAGCATGTTTAACAGAATAAAATT